CTATGGCCAACTAGACCTCCAAGCACTCTGTCATGGTATGTGTGGGCACTTACTCCATGAAGAAAAGCATAAGCTATATCTGCCCAGACAGAAAGAGAGAGCTACTGTCTCCTAAACACACAGGTTGTATACTTTGAGTGTCTGTAGTGTGAGTCTACTCCAGATAACTCCTGAAGCTCAGGTGGACTCTGACTGTATGTTACCTTTTTTTTTTTTTTTCTTGTCAGTTCTACTGGCAAATGGTCGTTTCTTTTCCAAAAATAAATTAAAAAAAAAAAAAAGAAAATTATCTTCCCTCTCCTGTTCCCTTTGCATGGCATTATGACTTGGTTGGAAAAAAGATTATCTCTTAGAAGAGTGGCTTGCCATTGCTGCAATAAGATGATAGATAATGAATGTGGCAATAGCTGCTAAGTTACAGGAAAATAAACACCTCTTGCCAGAAAGACCAGCATAGTTTGAACTGCTGGTTCGTCATTGCAAAGGATATCATAAATCTTTGCATTTTAGCCTTTGGAACATTAGCACAAATTGTTTCCAAATACTCTAGACCTGCATGGCTTATGTCACTTGACTTGCCAGACACAAATCTTCCTTTCTCAGAGGAAGGAAAATAAACAGATAGAAAATTCTCCATACACAGAGTTCCTCTGGAAAAAAAAGTCAGGTGGGAGAAATGTCTGCACACCTTGGAGGAAGATGGGTGTCTCTGAAGACCCTTTATTTCCTATGCAGGTGGTTAACACAACATCTCACTCTAGAGGAACAGGTAGAGCCCCAGCCCACTGACCTGACTGAGGTCAGTAGCAAGTCCTCCTTTGGCATCTACAGAGGCTCAGTTCTAGGTCTCCAGGTATTGCTACAAGATAGAGCTTCACTTCACTGAATAAACAACTACATTTTTCAGGCAGTTTCCCTTGGCTTCTTCCTCTCCCCTGTGTGTGTGTGCATCTGTACCTCTCAGTGTTCAACATCCCCTGAGAGGTTAAAATAAGGGATGAACAGAACATTTGTTATTGAGCTTGCAAACATAGATGAAAAAGCAAGCAAGGTCTGGGTAAACCCCCTTTTCCATTAGTCAATAGTGTCATGGGATGAGAGAACACTGGGTGATTTCTTAATGACATAATGAGCTTTAATTTTTATGAGGTAATACAGTAACTTTAACAATTACTGCCAGTAAAATGACACTGTTTGAGCAAACAGGGGAAGAAGAGGAAAGAAGCATAGCTTTTAAGTCAGTCTAGTAACTTTTCAGTAATTTTTGTGCCAATACTTACTTCCTGGAAGACACAATATGGGTAGTGCTAACATTTGGCATAAGCTGTAGTGTCTCTTCTGGGCATGTGATGGAAAGATCTTTTCCTTTTGGAGATATACTTGTTATGTCTAATGTTGCAGGAGGGAGACTGTATGGTAGAAAAATCAATTTCCCCTTCATGATAATGTTGAGACCAATCTGAAAAAGCATAAGTATAAAATGACTACTGCTATAAAAATCTAAAGACCTTGTTGTACCACAAAGAGGTGTAATAACGAAGAGTCTCTGGCCCACAAATCTTTAAAGTCAACAAGTATCAAACACAAGAGGAAGAGATAGATCAATAGCGAGGAGGTTGCATTGCAATTTGTGTTCATCCACAACCGTGAAATTCTTTTTGGTTTCTTTTCTAACAGTCCAAAGCAGTGCATAAGGCATGCCCTAAGATAAGCACGATTTTATTTTATGTAATAGGAACCAATGGACTGGTTATGTAAAGGACCACACGTACAAAGTAACAGGCAAAAACATTGCTCAGTATGACTTCTTATGTCAAGTTTGTAAGACAACAATGAAATTATATGTTTGACAGTCCTGCTAATTTTTCAGTAGATAGGCCCCATGACTACTTTGCACATAAGTCTTCTAGAGAAGAAAAAAACTGTCAGATATCCTCAAACTATCACATAGTAGATCATGAGATCCAATCCAAGGCCCGGATCTAAACGCTCTGGAATTTCGGATGCTTCACCCTAAATTTCATCTTTCTGAATTAAATCACATGATCCTGAATTCCTAACTTTAAGAAATATTGGATCTGAAGTTGGTCCCAGATCCCATAAAGTATTCACACAACTAAAACCAAAGAGCAGATCATGGAAAGTTTCTTTTTTGGTCTTTTGATTTTCCAGATCTCCAGAGTTGTGTCTCAAACCCCATCCAGAGCCGCCCTTGCAGTGTCTTCATAGAGCAGAGTTCACCCCTAAATCTGTTTGGGACTGTCTCTCCCTGCTCAGGGTGACAGTCTTAGAGCACATTTAACAAAACTAGATCCCTTTCAGAATAGGGAGGAAAATGCCCAGGTATCTTCTAGAATTGTGGCAGGACTATTGTATTAGGTAATGCTTGCCTCTTCTCCTGTGGGAAGCACCCAGAAAATAGTACAGCACTCAAGAAGAAATCTCCTGTGACCAAGATACTGGAACATTCACCTCCAAGACTTTCTTCCAGTCACAAACCACTTCTGTATTTTTCATTTAGCAGCTTTGGATGAAGGACAGAAATGGTATAAACCTGTAAAAGAATCACACATTATGGTTTTTTGCTTTTACACATTTTGACTGGAGAGAAATTTTTCACTCTTCAATATTGCACATCTACTTTTAATTCACGGCTAGAAAGAACTAATTCTGAAGAAAGGTGAAAAATGCAAGTTCATAAATGGTTCCTGCTCACAATTCAACTTAGTAATAATGCAAATTAGCCATGCAACCAAATCCTATTATTTGGAAAAACATCTAATAAAGTCTGGTATAAAGTACAGATTTCTGTCCTAAACAGAAACTATTTAGACAAGTCTATTGCTCCTCTCAGACTCAGTCATGCATCCATGCACCAGCTTATACTGGTCCAACCTTTCTGAAATTACCCTCTGAAGGAAATTAAGTTTCTATCTAGTTCTTTAGTGAGAAAGTACAAATGTGTTATTTAAGTTGGGGGTGTAAACAGGCTCAAACCTGAAGGAAAAATTAGTCCACCATTACCTTTTAAATATTGTGGTAGACTGCACCTCTGCTTCAAGAGGAGGCTAACTTGCTGGAAGCAGTTATTAAGGAAGGTTACTCTGTAGTGGCCCTCTTCTCTTTCCTTACACTTTCACTGCTCTTGGAGAGGCGCTACAGGGGAACTTTGGGTAGTCATTACACTCCTTTCCCCAGCATAAATCTTCTTGCTTTCCACCTTTTTTTTTCTAACAGTCTCTATGATCCTCTCTACTCTGGAAGAAGCAAGAGCACTAAAGTATTTCCAGCTCCCCTTTGGGATAATATTGTTAATTAGTTCCTAGAGCATCTGTAGAGTCAAAACAGTGGGATTGCTACTCCTTCTGAGTTGTCTGTAACACAGATGACCAGCTGTCAGGATTATTCTACCAAGTGTGTTTTGGGGTTTGGTAGTTTGCCTCTCCTTCTTCAGTAGCTACTTGGAGCTCAAAAGACTTCCCAGCAGTTGACCAAGCATTTTTTTTTAAAAAAAGTCTAGACATTGAAATAAGCTTTGCCCATTCAAACTGCCCTAAAATCTTAATCAAAGTCCAGCTATGGGGAATAAAAGATAATGAAAACTCGAATCCTGGAGGAGAACTCAGGATTTCAGAATGCCCTAAACGTGACTCCCAGTGCCAGAAGGAGAGGACAATCTTCAAAATCGAGCAACCCATGCCAAGAACACTAAGCAAGTAACAACTTTTTGTTTAAAATTGAGAGATGAAGTTGGCAAAAGAACTGCAGATGTTGTAAATGTCACTTGTGTGTGACAGACAGAGGAGGCCACTTAAGCCATTAGTACTCAAAACATTTAAGGCTTTATAGATCAAATGAGGCTTAAAGAGGAGATCAGACCTGTCAGGCAATGAAGATCATACAGTCTGGGTGGAACATGTCTGGGAAATTCCACTTGCCAAGCAGGCAGCTATGCTCTGCTCCAGCTATAACCTTCACACACATTTCAGGTGCACACACTGCACACACTGCATACCTCAGGTTAAGAAAGAAGATGATGACCTCAATGAAACCCAAAATAACTTGTCCCAGGCAATAATAAACATTCATGCAAGTAATCAAAGGCATTTGTGTCATCATCACTTGTGTGTGCATCCAGAAAATGCTGGAGATATAACAAGAGGAGAAAAGAGCATCCCTGATTCAGACAAGCAGATACAATGTTTGCGGTTTCTGCTACTTACATTTCCCCTTCTGTAGTCATTATCTGACATCTGCCTGAAACAGAGCAGCTAGCTCCCATTTGTGTCCCAGTACACTAAAGCTGTTTGATAAATCATTAAACTCGCATAAGAGAAGAATCAGATATACAATCATCAATCCCACATCTCCTGCTGTCAACTGTGCCCACAGTTCCACGCATGAGCACAGAGGGTTGGTGTCTCTCTGCAGGGCAATGCCTGCCATTGGCTCACTGAGAACGCAGAGAAGGAAGGGGCAGAAGCACGTAACAGTGATGCCCAAATGCCTGTGCGTGACTAAAGTCTACCAGCACTGCAAACCTTTGTCTTGCCTTAAGAAGGAGATGTTGCTCCTTCTGAAGGTTAGCTGGCTCATCTTCTTAGTGTACCTGGCTCCCTCTATCCCCTACAAAGACAGCTTCTTGCTTTGGACCTATTTGTCAAAATCTATTCTTGCTTTTGTCCTGTTGGTCAAAACCCATCACAAACGCCATATGAATTCTTGAAATTCAGGATTTACTCTTGTCTCCTGCTCCTAACACTGGCTCTGGTCAAAGATGAGTCAGTGGATGGCTAAAGTACATGGGCTGCTGTCATTACCCAGCACTGCAAAATTTATAGTCCAGTTTCTTCCTGTGGTGTTGATTTATCTGACTACTGAAGGTTGATTTCAAACGGAGGCACAATGTGCTAAACCAGAAATTACAAACCTTTCATGGGGTACTGGGTCAAGTGTAGTTTGGTCTGACATGTGCCTTTTTCTGTCTTCTTGACAGGATAGCTGGACTCCAAGACACCAATATGACTGAACGCTTTGACTGCCACTACTGCAAAGAGTCCCTGTTTGGTAAGAAGTACATCCTGAGGGAGGACAGCCCGTACTGCGTGAAATGTTACGAAAACCTGTATTCCAACACCTGTGAGGAATGCAAAAAACCTATTGGTGCTGACTGCAAGGTATGACAGATTTGAGTCTTGTTACAGAAATCTTGACAGAGTAGCCTGGATACAGAGCTCTGAGACATGCTATTACCCAGAATGATCCAGTTTAACAGCTGCATAGCAGGTTCTTTTGGTGGGAGACCATGCTTTCTGGACATCTGTATCTGCTTTTTATCACTTCACTTGGATTTTAGGAAGAAATTCTTCAGTATGAGGGTGGCAAGACTTTGGAATAAATTGCCCAGAGATGTTGTGGCTGCCCCCTCCCTGGAGGTGTTCAAGGCCAAGTTGGACGGAGCCTTGAGTAGTCTGATCTAGTCGAGAAGCGTCCCTGCCCGTGACAGGGAGGTTGGACTAGATGATCTCTAAGGTCCTTTCCAGCCTAGGCCATTCTATGTTTCTATGATTATTTTCCAGGCTTTTTAATAGAAATGGACCAACATCCCTTTCTTCCTACAAGGCGTAGAATAGTCTGATGATCTGGTGTTAGAAAGAACCTCTAGCTCATTAGAAGAGTCCAACTGTCCTTGGGGCCATCTGGGGTCCAAAAAGGTGGCAGCAGCTGATTTTGCCTCCCTGTCAGAGGGAGGTAAGCCACTGCTGTTTTTGCAGTGACAACAATTCAGTTGTCACCAAGTGACAAGACACACTTGAGAAAAGCTGCGAGCTCATGGAATACAAAAATCTGGCTAATGCTGACCCAAGTAATAAGCCAGTTAGAACACAGTCAGAATAATTAGCATTTTAAATACAGGATGATGATGGTAGAGTCTAGCTAAAGATTGGAAAGGACAAAGCAGAGGCCTTGCTCACTTGAGCCAGGCATAGCTACACCACATGAAAATACCTACCTGGTACAAATAAGGTATGGCCACTTGCGTTTCTTTTAAATTAACTCAAAACTACTGGAGTTTATGTCAGTTTCACTCTGATTGAATCAAGACAGATGATACTTGTACCATCCAGTGCAGTGCCTGTTGGACTGCCACAGACAGACTTCATCCAATATGCATCTTCCTTGCACAAAAGTGACGTGTTTAAAGTGAGCCAAGAGTTTCACTGACAGAGTGAGTTTGCACTAAAACAGGAGTCTGCATGGCCATGTGATTCTTGACCAATGCGAGGAGGTCTAATGTTTGATTTCCCACGTTGCTGATCCATACCACTAGATGCACCAGTTAGTCACTACTGCTGATACTAGCACTCTGTCACTAGTTCAGAGATATAAAAATACATGGTTACTCAGACTGGGAAAAATAAACGTCTCATATCTCCCAATCGATCTATCCAACTCTACTGGCAAATCAGTTGGAAAGTCCCTTTCAGAAGCCTTAAAAAGGTGACAATGTTTCACCATCATGATAAGGAATTGGCAATAGCCTGTAAGAGGGCATAAAACTGCCAGCTTTCCTACAGGTCATAAATATTCAGATTAGAGAAGAAATACAGCTGGCCTGACCTGAAAAAGCAAAATATTTGTGCCCGATTCCAGAATGTGCTTTTGTTTTAAAGTTTCTTTCTAATCCCTTGAGAAGACATTTCCATGTGTTGATATTCAGGAATTTAAAAACTTGGACTGGCTTCAACAAATCTCGGACAAAGTATTCAGGAATTAATCAGGCTGAACTTTTCAACCCAGATTTATGGATTTAGGGAGTGTGGGTGTTATCCGATATACTGCTCTTCTGTACTTTTTTAAGCAAGACACATTCTACTAGCAGGTTTTTTTTTAAAAAAAGACCCTAATTGTCAGCAATATGAGAATATTTTATGTAAAGAACCAGAACTATATGTGGAAAACACAACTACAAGATAGCAAATTTCTTAAAGAGCTACTGAGTGTACTGCAAACGTGACCTTTTAGTTTCTGTGACTGCTGTTTGTACCTGTTCACACTTTAAGCTACAGCTTTTGAGCATGTTGAACAGTTTTAACCAAATTCTGACAGATGGATGGAAGTTGCAAATTCAAATTCCTACAAGTTTTCTGGAGAAAAGATGTGGTTGGGTAGAAAAAGAGATGCTATTGATGTTCCCACTGAGAGGAAAACTAGCTTTTCAATGACAGTAATGGATGCTACAGAGCACATTTGAGAGAGCCCTTGTAAGTGCCTCAGCCACAAGATAAATTTCAGTCGAAGTTTGCGTACTGTATGACTGAGCATAATTCAACCATGAAGATAAATTTCAGTCAAAGTTTGCGTACTGTATGACTGAGCATAATTCAACCATGAAACACAAAGCCACATAAAAATCATCTTTCTGCTCCTTATAAAACTGTATATATACACAGATATATTAACATATATGAAATATATGTACATGTACACATTCACCAGAGATATATGTATGTATTTTTATATGTATCTTTTTACACATTGCATTTTCATTTTTCTCTGAGTGATGAAGACAAACATACTGTATTTAGGAATAAAACCAGTACGCATACTGCATGTACAAAATGGACTCCATACTTACTTGTATGTTTTGACACAGTCTTTATACAGCTCTAAAATTTGGGACAAAAATGTAATGGAGTGATGGTGTTATCAGAAAGAGTCACTTCCTCTACATCTGGCAGGGCCACCCACCCTCATGTTCACATCACAGCCTCAAAGGCTCCATATAGCTCTCACCACAGATTTGCCTTTTCAAGTCCCTTCTTGGCCACTGCTGTTTCTCCATACTGAGAAAAGACCTGTACTGAGAGCCCAGCTGCCCTTGAGATGCTCTTAATTTCCATCCCACCAGCCTTCCTAACTAAAGGAATCCTCCTATAGCTGAAAGGGTTACACCAAAGTAAAACTGGTGATGACAAGAGGATGGCCAGCTCTCCATCTCTGACACTACTGTCATGTATCAGCAGTGGTCCAGAGCATCAGCTCACCCATAGAATCACAGAATGGTTAAGGTTGGAAGGAACCTTGCAGATCATCTAATTCCAACTCCCCTGCTGTGGGCAGGGACACCTCTCTCCCACCAGACTAGGTTGGTCAAAGCCTCATCCAGCCTGGCCTTGAACACTTTCAGGGAGGGGGCATCTACAGCCTCTATGGGCAACCTGTTCCAGTGCTTCACCACCCTCATGGTGAAGAATTTCTTCCTTATATCTAATTTGAATCTACTCTCTTGCAGTTTCAGACGATTGCCCCTTGTCCTGTCACTACAGGCCCTTGTAAGGAGCCCTTCTCCAGCTTTCTGTGGGCCCCTTTCATGTACTGGAAGACTGCTATTAGGTCACCGGGGAGCCTTCTCTTCTCTAAGCTGAATAGCCCCAGCTTCCTCAACTTAAGCTTGCTCAGACACTTGTAATACTTCAACTTTGACAGTGCTGTGCTCTGAGAGGATCAAAATGACGGCAGCTTTCACCTAGTGTTTTGGCCATGGGACAGAGAGCCCTCAAGATAAGTATCTTGAAGAGAAGCTGGTTTTGAAATCAAAGCAGGAGAGAAATTGCTTCAGTATCTTTGTGATTTTTTATGGTAATTTATGGGTAACCGAGTATAACTATGTAATAATTAAGTTGTTCTTTATTTTAAGTGGTTCCCCCGCTCTCCCCAAAAAAAAGGAAAAAGAGAAAAAAGAAAAAAAGGAAAAAAATAAAAATAAAAAGAAAGAATGAAAATATGCATCTGAATGACACCTTTGGACTTAGGTCGTTTTATTAACTGTATTCAATTCTAGATGAGATTTATGAAACTTTCACAGACACCTTAAAGGCTTCATCTACTGAGTGGTAGAAAGCACTGGCAGGCAGCAAAAAAACATGATGCCATTTCTCTCACAGCTGTTATGCACTATCCATATGCCAACAGGTTCTAGTAGACATCTACCCTTTCTAAAAAGAACTGGCATTCCATTGCCTATGTCCCTGGTGAACTCTCAGCACACATACAGTTTCATGCTTCTTTCTGGAAATCAATTTATTATGTTCTCATTTACTTAACTGCTGAAGTGTGACTTTTCGTTGATTTTGGCTTTTTAAAAAGTTTCCCTGTAGGTCCTATTCCACAGGACAAATACAGGAAATACCTACAGTAATCCAGTGCTTAATGCAGTCCACAAGTTGGCTTTGGCAGGCAGGAGGGAGTGAAAACTCTCCCTGCGAAATATGAGAATGAAGTTAACAGCAGGTTGTGAGATAAAGCAGGCCAAAAATTAATCAAAAGGGTCAGTCTTACACATAAACTAAAGAAAAACTAAAGCACCTAGTAATGCAGATCAGGAAAGGGAGAAAATACTTTTCTAATTTTTAATGTTTAAATCCTGTCCTGAGTTGCAGCACTTTTTCAGTGCATTACTGAATATCAAACTAGTTGTTGTGAAGTGAAATTGTAAAAGAGGCAGGTACCTTCATCTCTTTTCTCTAAGGGGCTGGGTTCAGCACAATATCACTTGTTTTTACCTTTTCTAAACATGCTTTTGATAGGTATGTGTCAGTCTAATACACTTAAGTGTTTTGCTACAGGATGTGTGTAGCTAAAATTTGTACAACACTTTGACTGCATATTCCATTTCCTCTGCTCCACCCTCTGAAAAGAGCATTGTGGCAAGCAAAAAAGTCTGATGTAGACTTCGTTCATAAGCAAACATATACAGTTACTCTTCTGGTAATAAACTCTCTAATCTCCTTCTTCCTCTTGGGTCCCTGCTGAAAGCCAGGTCAAGAGAAATTGTAATACTTAACGGCTTAATTTTACTTAAACTTTCAAAGCCAGAGTGGAAGGCGATAATCATAGAATCATAGAATGGCCTAAGCTGGAAGGGATCTTAGAGATCATTTTAATCCAGCCTCCCTGTCACCAGGGACACCACCTCTCGACTAGATGAGGAAACACATGGGGACCGAACGGGAATCGAACCCGTGACCTTGGTGTTGTTAGCACCAAATTAACTGACTGAGCTAACCAGCCCCCTATATAGTTGTAGGTTATGAGGAGTCTACACTTAACCAAGTTACCTGGTAACTCTAGTCTTGGGGCCCTTCTAGTTTTTTAAAAAAACTACTTTTCTAGTTGTTTTTTTTTTAATAAAATGTCACCTGCATTCCCATTCTAGAGGCCAAATAAACCGTGCTGGATCAAAACTACAGAACTGTGGAGGAGTTCAAAAACACAATCTTGACAATGTTGAAAATGGTTACCTTGACAAAGTTTTCTTTGGGGATGACATAATGAAAATAAACAAAAATAAAATCACTCGAAAAGCACATAATGGCTTTTCAAAATCGTATATTTCACACCTCTTTTGCGTGAGATGACTCTAAAAACTTTTAGACACAAATAGGATCTCAAATGTCAGTATATGGTCATTCTTTAGTCTCTTGTCTGTGCTTTATCTAACAAGGCTCTTATTTGCACTTATGTGTACTTTAACTAGAGCGCATGGTTGTCAGTTTTCATAGATGCACAGACCGACAGCAATGTCCGTGTTTCTTTTATGCAACATAGGAGGCTGCATAAAAAACTACAGCTGAAATATGTAACACCAGGGACTCATTCCTCTTGAGCTGCATGAAGTGACTGATATGTCATGCTCATCAATATTTTAAGGATACTCTCCAGTTCCGAGTCCACAGTAGAGGTTTTCTTCATTCTTGCATGAATTTTCAGGAAGAATGAAACAAGGCTTAGTTGCACCTTCTGCTGGAACAGATGTATTCGGTTCACAACCAGCTAGTGTAACCTAGAGCTCACATGCCTAGCGTAAACCTGATGCTCTTGCAGCTTAACTGAGGACCAGCCTGACAGCCAGACAAGCTTGAAGACAGTTTTGCACAGGCAGCTTACCAGTGTACAATCTGTTCCAGATCAATACACCCACAGGTTATAAACAAGCCAAAAACTTCAGTTAGATACCCCGGGAGGTTGTGGACTCTCTGTCTTTGGAGACTTTCAAACCCCACCTGGATGTGTTCCTGTGTGATGTGCTCTAGGCAATCCTGCTTTAGCAGGGGGGTTGGACTAGACGACCTCTAGAGGTTCCTTCCAACACTGACAATATGCAACACACCAAAGTAAAGCAAATCTCATTTTCAGTTACTTTCTTAAACCAACCTGAGAACAATCATGATGCAGAAATGGTTTTATCAGTTCCTTGGATTTCCTTCCTTCAGATGCAACAGATTCAGAGACAGAGAGTGATGCCCATTTCATCGGTCTAATATTCTGCTGCAGACATGTCAAAGCCAGACATCTTAGACTCCCCTCCACAGCTGATGACAGTGTCTGTTATAATCACTCAGGGTAGCTAAAGATTGTTCAAGACAGTCTGTACCTTGGGTACTTTGGTTTGTAGTTGATCTTCATCCTTTGAGGTGATGAAATATCTGCTTTCACCTACCCAGCCACTTGTCTATACAAGCTGCCATCGCAACTGACTCAGGGATCAAACCTTTCATCATTGACACCTAATTCTTGTCTTTATTGCCCCTCTTCTAAAAGGCACCTATATTTGTGGATAAAAAAAGGCAGAACGAAAGCAGATATCGGCACATGAATTTTGGAGATAAAAAACAGCTTGCAGAATATTTAAAAAAAATGAGAAAGGCAGCAGGCCAGGTGAAGAAATTGAATACAATAGAAAGAAAACCAGCTCTGCTGTCGTTCTACTTTCTAGGAAGCAAATTTCAGATTTTGGAGAACTCTATTGACTGTATGTTGTATTTTTCTGTTGAAAATATTAACCTCTGAGATCAGATTTAGGCTATTCAACTTTATTTAGATTGGAAAAAAAAGAAAATTACTTCCAAATAAGTTTTTCTTTCATTTTACCATTAGAAACTATTAAAACTTTATGGTCAACTTTATCGGGTATTTCAAAAGGAGTTAGCTGAAATGAATAGACAAGCTGAATAAACAACTGTCTGAAAGCAGTAAAGTAGGAGGCTTAAATATTCTATTGCAGAGTTCTATTTCTGAGATGAAAGGTGCATTGGATACCAGTTGTTACTCAAAGTGATTTTAAAAAAAAAAAAAATTTACCTGAGTAGCACAGATGCCCAGACAAAAAAAAATCATTAATGCATTGTCACATTCTAATTGAATTTACTCTGCTTTTAACAAGCTACCACAAGCAAGACAAAAGTATTCCAGTGTTTCCTCCTAGCGGTTTATGAGAACAAGGATCCTACAGACATAATGGGTGTTTATTTTCGGTCAACCCAAATCCACAGAATCTTTTGTTTACTCTGGGCTAAGACTGCACATTTGGAGTTACCTGGGACTGTACTGACTGACAGAGCAGCTTAGGCCAGATTCTGTTTGAACACTTTGTGATGCTTCCATTTACACAAGTAAAAAATCTGATATTCTACAACTCATTCTTTTCCTTCTGTTACCCAGACCGATCCAGTACTTGTAATTACTACAGAGCAGATCTTGAGCTAGAACCTGAGAAGCTATTTCTGCTCCATTTTTATACTCCCCATTCATGACAACACTAGCCAATCACACTCCCATCTCAAACCAAAGCCTTTATACATTGGCGTGGACACCCTTTCTTCTACCGATCTAAGCCCCATTTTGTTTGAAGTCCAAAGATGCTATTTAAGTGTTACATGATTAGGCCACCTTATTTTAAAAGGCACAATCTATCTCTTTAGGTCACAATTTCAAGAAGGACCAGTTTTTTCAAATAATAAAAGTACCACTGTGGAGAGTATTTTAAATACTTGGTGCCGATTCTAATCCTTTGGCCAGAGTGTTCTGCATCACTGGAGTAAACACCTATGAAATGACCCAGAAATCAGTAATAGCTAAAACAAATAGGGGAAGACTATTATATCTATAAAGTTAACAAGTTTTACTCTGACTCAGAACTGAGACTTTATTCTCAAAGGAAATACCTAAATGAAACTAGTTGTTCCCCTTCCTCATACAAAAAAAATAGTTACCTTGAACTGAAAAAGGGTTGATACCTGTCATGAGCTGTTCTTGGTTATCATAGTAAAATAAGTTCACCATCATGAGAACATTTTGTTTTCCTGAGCTGTGAGCTGTGTTCTCTGAGCTACCAGTTGTGCAAAATACTCATTCTGTGGGTTTGGATTTTCACAGGATCTGTCTTACAAGGACCGTCACTGGCATGAAACCTGCTTCCAGTGCTTCCAGTGCAAGAATTCTTTGGTGGACAAACCTTTTGCTGCAAAAGAGGAACATCTGCTTTGTACTGATTGCTACTCCAACGAATACTCTTCCAAATGTAATGAGTGCAAGAAGACTATTATGCCAGGTTAGGATGCTTGCTTTGTTTTGACTAAGAAAAGATTAGGCTAAATATCAAGCCCAAACTCCACAATTGTGACAAATGTTCTTCCTTGACTATCTCTGCTAAGTCATGGTGAACTTCGTAAAATACAGTTCGTAGTGTCATTTCCATGACAAGAACACATAATTTTCATAACGGATCATGATAGAACTGTTATTCACATGATGCCCATTACTCTTGAAAATTAGCATTTATTTCATTTAGCTTTTTTAATAATGGGATTTATAATTTTCTACAGCAGTATCCATTAAAAGAATTTTAATGTCCGGACAACTAAAATTGATCTTTCTGTCTAATCACAACTTTGTATTCTGTCTTGATTGAAGATCAGAAGCAATTTGCAAATTTAACAGCTTACATAATTCATAATTTAGCTTTTTATGGATTTACTCTAAATTTAGCTTCTCCTGTAAAAATGAAAAACTGGTCAAAGGCCATTCTTGAGTACAAAGATATAAAGAAACAGGAAAGAGCTCTTTTCTTTTTCAACATGAAACATGAGATTATAGTAATAGATTGCTAAAACCTCATCTTCTCATGTCAATACTATAGCATTCTGTGATGATTTGAGGGCTTAAAATGGAAGCAATATTGGTCCAGAAATAATATATTAAAAGGCAATTTGAAGAATCCATATACATGCTCTGTATGATTGCCAGTTACTTTTTCCAATAAAATGTTTCCTTGGGTGGTTCTGACATTTGTCATCCTAGACAAAAGCTGAAAACTGCAATGTTGTGCACCGCAGGTATAAAAATGAGAGTTTGATGTTGAAATAGGATGTATAAATAGAAACAACAACGATATTTAAAAGCAGATGGCTCTATCCATTCACGATTGAGTTTAAGCATCTTCTTCTATTATTCCATGTGCTCTTGTTTTTACTGACACAGCGCTAACATTTGACATGTTTGGGAATACCTAGTTTTAAAGGTGAAGCGATAGATAGATAGATAGATAGATAGCTTTTTTTAAAGACTTCATCAAATTCATCCCCATGATCAGTGAGCTTATTTACTAAATGGAATGCTTTTTGCCTATTAAGCCAGCTGTAGATTAAGAAGTAGTAAAGGAGGCTGAAACCAGTGACCCTGAGAATCCCTTTTTCTCTTATAATCTGAAACAGAAGAAGTCAATTTTTATGAAGCTTTACAACCACCAACTGGTCATTAGCTGCTTACTCAAGATAGCTGCGATGTTACCACATTTGGAGAGCAGTACACCTGGCACATATTTTCTGCTTACATAGCACACCATGTTAGTACAGCAGCTTCACCAGAGCACTGTGATCACCAGCTGAAGCATAATTCACTTTGAAAGAACCAGCAAGTGGTTGGATACCCTTTATGGAGACTGTTAATGCTACACTTGCCCTTTTCTTTGCTCCACTAAATATACAATTTAGATTTAATAAAGGATTATCATGACATTCCCATTAAATACTAAAGTAATTACAAGCTTGATCTTTCAGTCCTTCTGCAAAGTAAACTCGCACTGACTTCAGTCCAGCAGCTAACAAACAGGGCTCCCCCAGCTCTGAGTTTTAGTAACAACATAATTCCAAAGAGAAAACATCTAAAAAGGTGAAAATAAAATTCTAGACTATTAAAAAAAAATCCACATCTCCTTTTTCCAGAACATCACTCCTTCAAGGATTGATTTATTGCTCCTTGTATGACACAGAATGTCACTAATGCAGAGATGGCGTAAGTCTTAAAAGGTGTCCATTAATAAAATAGATCAGAAATATTCAAGCATACAAGCATCAGATAATTAACAGTTCACTATAATTATCTTTAAGTCAAATCTTTAAAAACAAAAGAAGAAAAACATGCAATTGGTAAACAAAGAGGAATTAATGCTTGAAAATGGGAAAATGGTAAAACCTCACCCTGCAGTAATGGAGGTTGGTATCAAAGGATTTGGTGTAGTTCTTCACCATCAGCCAGCACTGCCAGTTTGTCAGTCTTCCAAGCATTTGACAACATGTTTGTTGCTACAGGCTTCAAGAATAACACAGAACTGTAGGAGCATCATTTGTTTGCTTTCCCTTCTGGCCAGTATCAAATATTCTGACTTGAACTGGCACATAGGAAATTACATAGCGTCCAAAGAAATTTGTCCATGTAACAGGGTGTCTCCAATGTCCTGGAAAGGCTCAGTCCTCCTGCCATACAATGGACTGAATCTGCAAAAAGCAGTATCTGTACCCTAAAACATCATTCTAGACAAGTACAATCAGCTCCTAACAACCATAACACTTCTCTATTTTTCAGTTAAAGGATATTTAAAGATTTTTTTTCCTTTCACATTGCAACTATGGTTTAAATACAACTGAAGAGAGAGAGAAAGGTTTTTTTCTTACTAGAAGTTCCAAGAGGCAGAAAAAAATTAAGGATGGGTGTTGCAGAGTTGAAACCCATTGCAAATTTATAGTGGACCTCAATGAGGACAGGAACACAGTCCCAGAGCAGATATGAAATAATCCTTTGTCTCAGACAGTGACTACGCTTTATTGGGAAAGGGAGGCAAGAAGTTTGCCCAGAATTAACCGAGCATCTTGCAGCTGTCTAAAAAGAAACAAAAGGAACTTAGAATGAACAAAGTCCTATTTTAATGAGGAATGGCCTTATCTTCACTCAGCACCAACGGCAGCTTTCATTGGTGTCTCATCGATTCCCCAGAATTTTCTTGTGCATTAGAATTCATTAATAACTCTAATAATGTCACAAAAAAAGGTGTGCTAAGCCTTCGTTATGCAGAGCAGTAAATGCTCCTCTTCCTTAAAGGAGGAGAAGAACCACCCACTCTCCAAAAAACTTAAAATGGTACCAAATACCATGCAAAGCTGGTAGGAACATGAAATAGCCCCTAGCTCATAGCTGTGCCACAAGAAGCTACAACATGAGCTACAGATTGCATTGGTCCCAGCCAGAAGTTCAGCTGATGCTCTGGTCTCATTACAGGTACTCGGAAGATGGAATACAAGGGCAACAGCTGGCACGAGACCTGCTTCATCTGCTACCGCTGCCAACAGCCTATTGGCACAAAGAGTTTCATTCCTAAGGACAATCAAAACTTTTGCGTCCCTTGCTATGAGAAGCAGTTCGCCATGCAGTGCGTCCAGTGCAAGAAGGTAGTGCTCTTATTTTTACTTACCTAAAACCTAAGCGTCCCATTTTACGTCCAGGTAGGTAGAGAACTTACTTGTCTCTATGTTAAAAGATTCACAGTCAACTGATTTTAAGAAGATACAATTTCAGCTTCTATCCTGCACCAGGCACAGCATTCACTACAATGAGAATTTTCTTAGTCAAGGTTAAAAATGCCTTTTGTGTTGAAAGCATACAGATAACACATTTTAAAAGACAAAACAATACAAAAACTCTGCAGTGGAATAATCTCATTCCAATAAAACCCACTACACATGATATACCTAAACGTTTCAACTAGAAGGAAGATCAGTTAACATTGATCATTTTTTAATATTGTAATGACGTTCAAGACAGAGATAAGATTTACACAGAGCAAATGCTGTTCCAGAAATAAACACTAGTAAACTCAATAAGCTCAGTAGTATGACTTTCTAGGCTAAGGACCTTTTATTTGTGAATTTCCTAAATTCTATACACAGACACTGATAAGGATCTTAGAACATCATCTTACCACTAATAGAACTACCAAATCCAAGTTTCCTAAGGACATATGCCTAGGCAAAGACAAGCAAAAACTGTGGCTGTACCCACAGCAAATTCCCTTTTCCCACTGTCACCTCTTCTTGTCTCCCTTTGCCCTCTGCGTCCTTCCAGCCACCCCCTGTGCCCACACCACCCAGACCAAAAGCATCCTGGCTTGTGTCAGGAATGGTGGTGTCAGCAGGAGCAGGGAGGTGATCATGCCCCTGTACTCAGCTTTGGTGAGGCCGCACCTTGAGTACTGTGTCCAGTTTTGGGCCCCTCACTACAAGAGGGACATTGAGGCGCTGGAGGGGGCACGGAGTCAGGCTACAAAGCTGGTAAAGGGCTTAGAACACAAGTTGTATGAGGAAAGGCTGAGGGATCTGGGGCTGTTTAGCCTAGAGAAGAGGAGATTGAGGGGAGACCTCATCGCTCTCTACAACTACCTGAAGGGAGGTTGTAGAAAGGCGGGGATTGGTCTGTTCTCTCTAGTGGAGAGTGATAGGACAAGGGGAAATGGATTTAAATTGCACCAGGGGAAGTTCAGGTTAGATATTAGGTAGGATTTCTATACTGAGAGGGTTGTCAGCCATTGGAACAGGCTGCCCAGGCAGGTGATTGAGTCACCGTCCCAGGAGGTGTTCAAGAGACGGGTGGATGATGCATTGGGGGGAATCATTTAGTAGATTGATAGGGCTGGGACGAAGGCTGGAGTTGATGATCTTCTAGGTCTCTTCCAGCTGATATAATTTTATGATTCTATTCTATGACTTTATTCCATGTGTGCTACCCACTCATTTGCCCTTCCAGTCAAGCAAAGTCACAGTCTGGTTGGACGTACCAACTGGCCAGAAACAATGGTGTCTTTGCTACTGCATGGGCAAAAATCAAATAGGCAAAGGCTAAATTTTTCTTTCAGCCTTTGACCCAAAGTATACCTAATTACCTGTACTATCTCCTTTCCATCCATTGATTTTTCTGGACCTTGTAGGAGTTTCATATCTTAAATACTCCATCTAGTGTCCAATTTTAACCACACTTGAGAACAGGCTCAAAAACACTTGGTAAAGGGGCAAAGAAATAGATGAACACACATATTAGGTAGCATGATCACATACAAGCCTGATTACTAGGGAACCTCCCTTTGGGGAACAAAGGAAGAAAAATTAAACTTTCCAGTTTTACAGCCTTCTTAGGAATATTCAATAGATGAAAAGAAGTTAAGTTTGTCTAACATCACAAGATCTGTTTTTGTTGGCAACAACTTGTTGTAAGAGAAAAAACCCAGACTAAGTCCGGAGAAGCAGAAAGCAAAGACTTCAGCTAAAATTTGAAATAAAACAGTCTTTGCCAAGTAAAGTAACTGGGAAGCTGAAACACATAAAGGCAGTTCCTTCACCACTAAGAATGGGACAGGTAAAGGAACAGAGATGAGAAGGATCCTAGCACATGCATATGAAAAGTGCCATATGAAGCTTTGAAAACAAAAAGGACAATTGAGCGTGAAATTATATAACATACAGAGGATAAAGTACTTTTCAGTATGGGGCTTCATTGTATAAATTAAGAAATCATAATAATTCACTTGCATGATTTACTCAAGGCCAACTCCAGGCACAGTAATGATTTTGCTGCCATTAATCCTTCCTTCCTTCCTTCCATTCACAAAAACTTCATGACCTTTCCTCTCTACCAAATAAAAACACAAAGCTGCCACCCTCAAGAGAACACTTTCTGTCTTGCTTTCCAAACACCAGGCTATCACTACAGGAGGTGTTACTTACCGGGACCAGCCGTGGCATAAGGAGTGCTTCGTTTGTACTGGATGCAAGAAGCAGTTGTCCGGACAACGCTTTACTTCCAGGGATGAGTTCGCTTATTGCCTGAGCTGCTTCTGCAACCTCTATGCCAAGAAGTGTGCTGGATGCACGAACCCAATCAGCGGTAGGTTTCTCATGGCCAGAGCCTTTACATTTTGTTTTGTTTAGTTGGTTTTTTTCAATGAACTGCTTCTAATATTAAAAATGGTTCAATAATTCACTCCAAATAACTTTAAGAGATTCAAGACACTGAACAATTCAAGATGTGTGAAATTAAAGACTTACAATGCCTTTCAAATGCCTGACAAAAAGAAACGGAAGAGGTCCTTATATCAATTTTTCCTCCTTTTCGCACAATTTTCATGGAACGTGGCAGACACACAGTAACAGAGCTATGCATGCAGTGTTCAGTACCTCATTCCACTTAATGTCATTAGATCTCAGCAACAACGGTCCCTTCATCAGAAGAAAGTGTCTTGCTGTAACACAGTGCACTTCTGTGAGTTTTCAGGACTGCAAGGCTTTGAGGTACTGCTTTCTAGTACAAGAGCACTTAAAGGAACAACAGCTAAGAGCTTTACTATGAATCAGCGTAAAAATACAACCTCCTGCATGAAGCAACTGGCATTTCTCAGCATGATCCATACAGTTCCACCTGGACCATTTTCTCTCGTCATTGCTCTGCCCTTGTGTCTGTCGCTCACTAACACATGCTCGATTGCACAGTTCCTAGACAAGTCAGTGCATAACACCGCAGGTACTGTCTTCTGTTCATGTGAAAGAGACATTATCTTTTGAATATTGAAGTCCTTTATCATCTGCTGTTGTTCGGGGTTGTTTTTCAAAATGTCGCTACTAAGGGCAAAACAACAAAAAACCAAAAATGCTCTCATCAGTTAAGACAAATGCCCAATTAAATCTTTTCACTGACTTCCAGCTTATCATTCCAATGCATCATACTCAAATTGCTTGTTATTTCTGAGGGTAAGCAAGAAATAATTACCACTAAGATACATTTATCCCTTCTCTTCTTTTTCCCTGTGCAACTTCAGCTCTAATTCTGACAATCTCCCTAGTCTCAAACTCTTGAATGCTTTTTGCAGTTTGCTAACCTGCTTCTTTTCTTGAGGCACTCTCCCTTTCAAAGCTATGAATCAAGTCATGACACAACCTGTCAGCCTTCTTTTTTAATCATCTAAATGCATGTTTACAAAACAAAATTGGCTTAACCAGACATAAAATATTCCCTAGAAATTAATCAGGCTTCTGTCCAGGGGCAGTTTCCCCCTTCTTCTGCTGTAAAATTGCTGTGCCATCCCTTTAAAGTTCATTTCTGCCATTATCACTAGTGATAACAGTCTAGTTCATTAATTTAGCTGAAAGAAACAGAACTATGTGAGGATGAAAACATTACTTGCTACAAAATAAGGGTGGCAAAATTAGCACAGTAACAAATAGCATTTTTTCATGTCATTTTTGCATGTCACAGCAATCTGTGAGGTCATTTCATGTCATTTTTTCCTGTCACAGCAATCTGTGAGGGGAGTCTGAAATAGCATCACTTGATGGCTGATGTGCTATTCTTTTCCGGTAACAATGTCTTTGTTTTTTAAATAGGACTTGGAGGAACGAAGTACATCTCCTTTGAAGAACGGCAGTGGCATAATGATTGCTTTAACTGTAAGAAGTGCTCTCTCTCGTTAGTGGGTCGCGGTTTCCTCACGGAAAGGGATGACATCCTTTGCCCTGAATGTGGGAAGGATATTTAAAGCTCCAAGTAAGAGGTAGGGAGAGGGGAGGAAAGCCGTGCTTGCAATATATAATCTGAAACACACGGATGCTCAGAACTAGCTTTGCCACTCTGTGTTTCGCTGTACTTAACCTTTTCCTTCAAACTCTCCAAACCTGGAGGGAAAACAACTTCAAAATCTGTAGTAATGGTGTCGGTGTTTTAAGGTTTCTACTGCTAACAAAACTAATGCGAAAGCTGGGATGTAAAACTATTTGGGTGTAATTGACATAACATACTCTTTTTGTTGTTCTTTTTTTTCTTTAAATATTCCATTTACAAGGAAGTGATATAGTTCAAGGATCACAATGGCCACGCACAATACATTTGCAGATGGACATTCAGGGCGAAACTCTCAGCCCTCAGAAATCAATGCCAAACACAGTTCGATTTCAATAAGGCTGTGGTCTCGCCCCAGTGTTCTTGAGCTGTGTGACTAGTTGTGTGCTGTCAAGTGTGTAGAAAGACTGCGAACGTAGAGGGTGTTTCAATGTAAAAGAATTTGTGCCATGCCACAGAGATAACAGTAAAACAGTTGAAGTGGGAGTGCTCCCTAACAGGTACCTATTTTATTGCATGACTAGCTGATCATTGTGTGAAGTACAAGTTCTGATTGACGACGTCAGTATTACAGTTAGTCGACTTCACATTGCACATTGTACTTTTCAAAATAAAACCATTTAAAACAAAACTGTGATTGTGGTTTAATTGCATTTATTTATTAGATATTTACAAATAAAATTCTTTCGCAATCTGAAAAACACAATGCAAGATCCATACAAACACAACCCTTTTTGCACCCAGTCGTTATGAAACCCTGGAGTTCAGATAATCCCCAGATGGGCCCTGCTAACAGAACATAGTCTTCTACTAACTTAAATCAGTGGGAAAATTATCAACAAAACTGAACAACTGTGAAAACACTGAATCAACTGCAGCTGAAAATAATGTGTTTATGGGCTCTAAACTCAAAACCAAAATATTGTACTTCTCAGTAAGCAAGGAGGTCAAGATAACTCAAGAGACATCTTTGCAAACCCCAGAAATTTAACTTCTATACAAGGGCACGCTTTAATTCTGTTCTGCACTATGTAATACCCTTTGTTCTACCTACTTCTGCTACATATGCGCTGCAAAGGCAATTGTCTGCAAAGGGAACTGTCAGCAACAGCCTGCTGGCAGGACAATAAAATCAATAAGAAACAATCCAAAGGAAGATAAGTATCTTCCCAAAGCAAACTTCAAGAAATATCACCATATTATGCAACGTATGATCCTGGTATGCCTCCCAGATGGAATTCATTTGTATCCAGTAAAAGGAGGAAAGTAATACGTCACACTTCCAAGAGGAATCTTCACATGCGGGAAGAAGAACTAGGAATATACTTACTGTGTAACTGGGTAGGCAAAGTTTGCTCCTAGTTCCTGTCGCCACTCTTGAATGTATCTCTTCTTATACCACATGTACAGAGCTTACAGGTCATTCTTCTCTCTTTAAGTCGACCAGCTAAATAGATCCATCAGATCAGATCTGGTTCTGGTTTACTGCACACTCTTTGAAGAACTTGGCTGGCTGGCATTTCAAAGTGCACATCATGCTAATCTGATCTCACCAAATGACTAAATTCTATCTTTTGGTGACTTCATTCCATGATGAAGGCGGTAGTGAAAAATGGCCATAAAACCCCCTTATGTCCCCACTTCTCAAAGGAGGTTCCGGCAACTGGAACGACAGCAAAACATAGCCTAAGCCCTAAACCACTGCCAAGAAGCCACCCAGAAAACAAAGCTCCAATCAGACTGTCACACTAGTGGTGCAAGCACCAGCGCTTCACATGATACTAAAACTCCGAAGTAGCTGCTAAGCCTTTTACCGTCTAAGCTTAAGTTCTAATCATTCAAGTCCACTGAAATAAAACCGTACCAAATGAGCAAGCTTAATTACATCACAAAAACAAGTCAGTACTATTTTGTTTCCTTTTAATTGAATTTATTTAAATAGGATAAGGCTACTTAAAAGACAACTCTTTACATACAAAATGTACATTACATTAAAGTTTGCTGTACTCAAGTACAAAAACTGCACAAGTGTTTAGTAAAAGGGAAACAGCACGTAATACTTCAACACACACATTCTTATAATTTTACAGCATTCGAGAAGTGCCTTTTATGTTGTAACAGTGAATGAAGAACTTCTGTCAGTAATGAATTAAGCTACAGCTTCTGGTTTCAATATTAACCAATACTAGAAGTGTAAACAAGCTTTCAGATCACTACTGACAGCTTCTTGTAGTGGGTTAACTAAGTGAATTCAAAAGCTGATTCTTCTTTTCACTAAGTCTGCAAGTGTTATTACATCCATATCTAAAATGGATCTAAACTGGCTTCACCCTGAGCCAGTGAGATTTAATAAAAATGTTCCCATCAACTTAACTGGATTTCTGCCTTATAAGGCACTACCAATAACCCAGATGAAATATCAAGTTTCACAGAAAACAAACATCCATCTTATCAAAGGAAGGGAAAACAGGTTGGTTGGTTTTTGTTTTTGAGAGTGCAACCACACACACTCTCAAGGTGCTCTCAAGGTACTTCGTAGTCTTCCTAGCCCTGCCCCTATCCAATTGTTAGTAAGTTGAGAAAGCACTAGCCTGCATTCCACAGGTTTTCCTCATATTTTATAAGCATGATTTTAACCAGGAAAATAAGCAAATTTCCTACATCGGCGCATTTTTACACTTATGCATGTATAAAATATGCCTGCCTATTTAAGAGAACATGGCACTAATCCATTCATTACCTCCTCTCAAAGATTCATGTCAAACACTCTAATAACATACTTCTATCTGTGCATTTCTTATTTCATATGTCAGTAAGAGAAACTTCAATTTGAAGTAATGCTGTTAAAATAGTTCATCTCTTATTACCAACCTAACTTTCACTGTAAATTCTACACTCCTGTGCAAAAAAAAAAAAAAAAAAAAAAAAAGAGGGCAAAAAATTTGTCTCAGACTATCTCAGCAGCAGAAGGGTCAGTTTTCCCACCTAAATCAACTATCTTTTTAAAGCCAAGAAGGTTCCTGGGATCACTCTGAGTCTCAATAGCTACTTTAACTATTTAACCATAAGTGGAACTAAACTGAATCTTACCAAAACAAACAAAAGAAATATATATATTTGTGTGAATCATAGTGACATGCAGGAGATGAACTATAATCAACTTGAAAACTAAAAGTAGGGGCTTTAGCATATTGTAATATTCCCACCTTTTAAAGAAGTAATGAACTATCTGGTGTACAAGAGTAGACATTCTTAAGGTGACTGGTGATAATGACTCCAGCTTTACAACAGGAAACTTTTAAACTTGTTAAAACTTCACAGCAATCTAGATCTCTGCGAGGTTTAAAAAGAATTGCATTTAAACTGTTTAAATATGACTTATCTGTTTGAAAATATGGAAGTAACATTTTTGTTTCAAGCACCGTTAGCCACTTCATGGCCATGTAACATGCTGGATTTTCTTCTTTGCTTCCGTGGGCTTTAGGTCATTCTGGAATACAAGAAAACACTTAAGTATTCTTGGATATACTGCGGAAGTAGAAGTCAGTAATTAACCTGCCATACCCAATCTACAGACTTATGCTGTAGACCCCTGTATGCTACAACAGCAGCTTTCTACTGACACCTTGTGGAGAACGTTAAATATCAGAGAACTTCTCTAGGGAAGGTCAAAGCAAATAAATTTACCCACAAATCATATGCCTTTTGGTTTTTCTTAATCCTACAATTAGTTATGCAAAAATATCTTTCAATTATGCAGCTTAGAAATAAGACTATATTAGAGTTCCAAAATAAACTTCTAAAGTTATTTCAGTGAAATGGGATCATATTAAGAAAAAAGCCCCAAACATACAACTAGGAAGCCAATTGACTTTTGCCAAATAGTAAAAAAAGTTACAAAAAAAGAGAAGGTTGGTCTTTTTGTTGGTCTTCCTTTGTAATGTCCTGTATTAAAAAGTGAAATAATTGCCAAAGCCCCAGATGAGCTCATCTTTCAATCCCTGCACTAAGAAGCCAGAAAAAAAACCCACAAGCAAGCCCAAAGTAAAACAATGTGAGATCAAAGTGGTGAAATAATTACCTTTCACCATCTAAAATAAGGGGGGGGGAAAAGAGAAATTAGAGCTTTAATAGTTCACACAAGCAGAGTAAAGACAGGTATATGGCACTTTGAAGAACATCCTGCAACACACTGGTTTGGGAAGCACAATCTAGAGACCACTCTTTTCCTTAAGAGTTGCAGTGGGACTTCATTTACAGCAATCCTGTGGGTTTCAACCACTGAATGTTTTAAGGGAATTAGACCCAAAGATCAGAGGGATAGTTCTGTGCTCTTCAGTACAAGAATGGCAGTTTTTCTTAAAAGTCAACAAACAGCCACTTGCTTGAAAAGGCAATCGTCATTTCTGTCTTTCTACTAAAAATGTATCAGATTTTACACACTACAGCCATCTGCCAAATATACTGTTCCTTCCTAGCTGCATCACTTATTATTCAATACCACATTCTTTAATTTCAGACAGTAAAGTAAGACCCATACGACACATTTGACCAACTTCAAGCATGTCTGCCCAAAATTAACTAAGGCATGACTGAGCTTACTGGTATTAACCTGAACAACATGAACTGTGGCTAAGTCAAGTATCAGACATCATAACTTTCGGGTGTCAGTTACACAGTGTCACTTAAAGGTGTCCATCATCGTGTCTACACAACACTGAAGTTAAATATAAAGAAGCTGTGAGCTGTATACTAAGCAACTTTCAAAAGCTCTGTAGATTCAGACCTAATCAATATGTTTAGAGTTGTAAATAATAAGTTAGTAATGCCAGTAGTAGGAAATATACCTCTCCAGCATAAATTTGCTTCAGGGTCTCAGCCATGATTCCTGTAAAAGTTACTAAAGCTGTCTTTCAGAACAACCAGGTGCTCACATTTAACAGAAGTCTGATGGAAGCTACCAATTCATGCAGCAAGAAAATTATCTGTATTCTTTCTTGAAAGGATTTTTTAAAAGGAGATTAATGGAGAGCATTTCATGAGGCAATAGCGAGAAAATGCAAGTTAGGTCTGGTGTCCTGGGAAAATTTTCATCAATGTAATTGCACACTGAATATCTAAAGCTCCCCCTGCAGTTCAACTGAGAATAGGTATTTCTACTTCGTCCTCTGAAGCCCAGACTTAGTCCAGATTTTCCCAAATTCCACTGGAAATGTGAAAATTCCTTCATGTGTATCATGAAGGAATACAGCACAAACATAAAACTTATCCTTTCCTTGCAGCACATTTCAAAGAGGAGATGGCCCACTGCTCCTTGCTCACTGACAAGCCTTTAAAGTCTAATCACACAGTCTAGTTTTTTAATGGCTATTAAAAAATAGCCATTCTATCTTTCTCCTCAACTGGCAGCTACATTCACAGCACCATTACCTACACCTTCAAAGACATGCCTTGCTCAGTTCCTACATCCTGCCTTTGGTCATCCCTCATGACTTGAGCTCATCGACCCCATTCTGCCTCCACCCACAGTGTAGCTCTTCTCAACAGAAGATTTATTTGCAGCTCAATCTAACTTGCAAAAAGAAGGTAACTATTTACCTTTACAGTTAACACCTCAGCCATCAGTCTCCTCCTACTTGAGAACAGCACCCTTCTGTTCAAAATCTCAGTATGTCTTTCTCACCACCTCACCAACAGAAGCTCAAGATACCTGATTAAGATCACCACAGCTCAAAATGAGCACTCAGCCTTTGGCCTTTCACTTCAACTAGTATGGTTTGTTGTTATGGCTTCTCAGTCAGACACACAATTTCGGCAGCTCTCCAGATTTTCACATCTAGTTCTTTCCTCCAGCTTGCCAATTCCTACATGAAATTTAAAACAGATGGTGTTCTTCCTCTAAGGATATATTCTACAGCTCCTAGCATCTCACTTTAGTTCCTGTAACAGCTCTTCCTTCACTTTGACAAATGAAAGCTTCTCCTACTCAACCATTCATATGTGATTGTTACAAATGTTATCATCCCTTTTTTTATCCCTACCACAGAAAACAGACCACTTGTCCTCCCTTTAAAGCTGTGCGTTTTGGTCTGTAATACCTGTTCTCCCTCTCAGACCTACCAGTATGATTATTTTGTTTGTGTTTTATTTGATTGCTACCAGCACCACCTTATTACATATTTACTAATTTTAAAATTACATGCGTATTTTATACAAAGCTGCCTCTCTCACACAGAAGACCTCCATAGATGAGTACTAAGTACTCGATTTCTATCCTTCTCATCTTTCCCAAACCAGCTAATCTTTTGCCTTTTTCTAAATAAAAACTCTACCATTACTTCAGTATAAACTAATCCGACTCCAAAATAAAGTAATACTGAAAACTCTTACGAGGGTCTACCTTTTGCTCCTGCAGGCTTCAATTAAGAAAAAGCTGCAAAACAAGATACTGAACACACATACCGGCAAATCAGATTCTTCTTTCGGACCAGCTCTCTTTAACTTCACAACAGTAGTTCCTGCTACTGGAGACAAAGGGTACACCTTCAGACTAGCCAACACGCTGCTGTTAGTCTTTGAAATATTGTTCTGCTTAGCCTCATTATTCCTCATTCCCAGCTTAGCGTCCTCTGATAAACTGGAGGCTGAAATGTATGTTGAGGCGTTTGAAGGAACTGATAATCTTCTAACAGTGTTGGTGGTGCTTCCAGCTGGAGGAGGTTTTAGTCGATCAGTAGCTCCGTTCTCTGTCTTCTTCACCTTTATGCTTGTACTTGTTGAATTGCCATCAAATACAATTAATGGTCGTTTCCTTAAACCTTCCACTGTCGTAACACTGAAAATACAAATTGTAAAATTCTCAGAAATGCAAACTGGATGACCCAGAAATAGCACATTCAAGACATGACTACTGCAAATTAATTTAATCTCACCTAAATTAAAAATATACCCCCAAATACTAACTTTAAACTCTTAGCTGCTCCAAACTTAGGCAGTGGAAATTGCTTCCAAACTATAAAGTGGGAAGATAGGCAGGGAGCCGTGTGAGGAACAATGTTCCTAAGCACAGAACATTGGGTGCAGAATTTTCTAAGCAGGTAATTACAGCTATATGATCAAAGATTGTACACTTCTGCAACTGTAGCTATTCTAGAGTAACTAAAGAGATAATAGTTGTTACGTATTTAAAAAGGTGCATATGTGAGAAAGTGTGTCATCCTACCTACATGAACAGCAAATAACATGCTGATGCCTCTAAATCTCCATTTCCACACTTACTGAAAATCATAATGTTAAAATAGTCTAAAAGACTGTTAGGCAAGGAATAAAAACATTAAGCAAAAAAGCATACCTGTTTCTGAAATCAGCTGTCTTTGAAGAAGAACCCTAAGCTGATGTAATGACTATTTTTTTTATGCTTTTAAGCCTGCGCATAAGTCAGAGCTGGCCAAATTAGTAACAAATGATTAATGAAAAAGTAATACGGTGAAGGTAGTATCAAAGCAGTAGCATCAGAAAACATCCCAAATGTCAAAAAATAAAGTTATCATAGTTCTCTCTACATGAATTTAGAGTTTTAAAAAAGAATTGCTCAAGAATGACAATGAAAAGCTGTTCAGAAAGTGCAGATTCAACAGAAAAAACCCCAAACCATTATTAAGTTTTATAATTCCTGTTTACTAACATTAGTTTTCCAGTAAACACTTAATGTTTAACCACCTTGTATTAAACAGAGGAATAAAAGTTGAACTATAATGTTTTCAACAATGAAATACATTCATTACTTTATAATTAACGAATTTAACAATAGTGATGTTAGGTAGCTGACTTCAAAATAAGTCACAAGCAGAAACATGACTTTTTTTTTACTTGGCAAAGCATTAGAATAGCAGCTGCTGTTAACCTCACATATTAAGGAATTACATATTGCTTGCACAATTTAAGACCTGTCGTTTCTTTAAAAAACAAAACAAAACCAAAAAAAAAACCAACCAAAGTAGTCACAGCTTAAGAGCTCAGAATAAGAGAAAGCTCTGCTCTTACTCAGATTTGCTTCTACATAACTATCTGTTCGCAACAACAGTTGTCACACAATCCTCCCTCTTTTTCTATTCATCATGTTCCCAGAATCAAGAGAGACAAAGGGAGACCTTCAATTCATTCGAACTTGTTTGTCAAGAGATCAGACACAACTCTTGGGTTTATACCTACAGTAGATGTGATTTCTGGGAGAGCTTCTACAAAATGGAATTTACTTCCTGGACCAGGACTCTTCAGACAGGCATGTTATTTCAGTTAAATACGACTGAAACAACAGCAGTGTTTAACACATCCATTAAATTAAAGAGTACAATTTCACTTGAAAATCCTAAAAAGCTGACACACATTTAAAACCAAAACATGATACTTTTTGCTCACTTTGGCTTTGTCTGAGAATTTGTTCTACACTACTGACAAGGAACACATTCCCCAGAAGCCTTTTTGGAAAGCTAGTTTACAAACTATGAGAAAGGACTTTATACCTTTTCTTCAGTCACCTGCTAACATAACAAGTCTAGGCTACTTTTCCTATGGAGTTCGTTTGTGGGGTTTTCTAAATTGTTTAAGACTAGCAAGTTACAAACTAACTGCAATTCTAGGATGACTGTATTCTATTCTAAACTAAATTTTATAATTGTAGGATTTGCAAAAATGACCACATGCTACAATACAGACAACATTCTCAGAGAATCACTTTGGGAAAGCTACGACAGAAATTTGAATGCTGTACTGTCAAAAACCATCACGTCTAATTTTTAGACATACAGAAGAACACAGAACCCTGGGCATGACATTCACTTTATTTATATAAAGTGTAGGTGGTTTAAAAGCTTCAGAGTGTAGACTAAGTAAAACCATGTATTTGGATTAATGGCTAGGTTTTAGTGAAGCAGTTTAATGTAGGGTCAAATATACTACATTGGTCTTCTAAGGAGGACCAACAACTTTATTGTGTAAGCATGTTACTTTGTATAAATGCATGTCTTGCCAAGGACTATACCTCTGAAGAACTAAAAAGAACTGCCCCAGAGAACCAGACTGACTGCCAAAGAACATGGAGTCAGACAAAGGTAAACGCAGCAGGTAGAGATGGCAACCACAGACACAATTCAAAGGACTTGCCTTCCCACATCTGTAAGAAGCATGGGTGCTAACTTACATAACAAGCAAGGCTAAGTTAAATATAACTAACCAACAGCAGAGGGATAGCAATTACTGGCCAGTAAGCATAAATTTAGGCAGGTTTTTACTAATCACATAACAAGATAAATACGTTGTAATTCCTCTGTGTGGTAGCTTTGTGGAATTACCACCTAGCAGCCATCTTTGTGCAAACAGGAAATAAATAAATATCTCAGCTCCATGTTTAAGACTGGCTTATGTCACACTGGGTGCTGGACCCCACTGGTGGGACAAGAGCAGGACTCATTTTAGCCAGCACTGTTCTGAGGGAGGACACTGACGGTAGCTAACAGCTGAAAAGAACCCTGTTGGGATTGTGTCCCCTCCAGCAGGATACTCTCTGTGAAACCTAGATTTGAATGTGCATCTTGAAACGTTCTAGCCATGTTTAGGGCTGGGCTGAATGGAGGGCATGCTCTAATTCTGATGTGTACTTCGTAGCACATGATAAAGAATGAGAGATTTACTAGAAGAAGCAAAAGCTTCTCTGCATGAGCAATCTGGGTTTCCCCTGTTTCGCATGATTACTCATGTAGTCAGGATAGCCTCTGAGCAACTCTGACTATAAGGGCAATTGAATGAAAAATGCTCCTATTCTTAGCCTGCCACTTAAGGCAGCACTCTAAAACCAGAAAAGTGTAGGTTTTAGCTCCCACCCTCTGATTATCCTAAATATTTGCCTGTTACGTGATCACCTTTTCTGTGAATGTCTGAATCTGTGCAGAAGTACTATGTTTCTCACAGAACTTAGTATTATCAGCTCATTAGCGGTTTTCAGAAGATGCCAAAGCGCCTTCTCAGGTGACTGCGGAGAACTGATAAGCTCTACAAAGGCCACAGCTCTGAACATGCACAGTCACATCGCTCTTAAGAGTTTGCAGGCGAGAGTCTTCTGACTCCGTGGCATTTCAGAAACTACATATACATTATGAGATTCATACCATCCTCTCTCTTCCAGCAAGAAATATGATCTTACAGATCTACAAAAATAACTGTCCCTGAATACAGAGACTTTTTGAAATATTCAGTATTTGTTTTTATTTAGTATGATGGTCTGCTAGCTCAAATATTCAGTAGTAAGATGTGTAAACCAGCATCTGTGACCTCATATAATTGATTTTATTATTGAGGTATGACACATTACTGCAGCTCAGTTGATAGGCAGCAAGTCTTTCAGGACAAGCCGTTGATCAACAGTAGTAAAACTAAACACAATAGTCAATGCCAACTTGTAAATTTCAGTGTGTTTTTACTTCCTATCTCTAACTACTGCAGGCATGCAAACACATAGGGAGCTGTGCTGATCAAATCTCCCAGCCTCATATTAATTCCAGCAAATGTTGTAAAGCTGTGCTTTCCACAGAGGAAGTCATCAGAAAGCTGCTGTTGTTTGAACAATCAAACAGTTTATCTGGCTTCTAAACTGAGTAACAGCATGCTTAGTTCCCGTCTCCGATTTGCACATAACTTAGAGCCTCGCAATACCTAGGAATTCTGGTTTTAAAAATAAGAATGCCAAGTTCTACTTCCTCCTCTGCACCGTGACATCATGCCAGTTGTGTGTAAGCAGTGGACACAACTATGAGAAAAAGTGTAATCTTTTAATAGCCAAAAAGATGAACTTCCTTGATTCTTTCCATCAACACACTAAAACTGAAGTTTTCAATATGCAACTTTTACTTATCAAAAAGGTTCAGTCTATTTCTCCCGTTTCTGTGGGGTTAGTAATTCTAGCAGTAAAAGGAGTAACTTTTCTAGACAGTATTTTGCCAGCATAGTTGTTAAGTATGAAAGATGTAGTATCAGGAAAACTAGTAACTGCTGGAAAATCTTAAAACTGTCTAACAACAAAGCAAAATACCATGCATAGTGTTCTAGATACTACTGCTAAGTGCCAAGAGTAACCAGTAAAGAAAAGCAAATTGGTAGATTAATCAAAACTCCTTTTACTTATTATTTTCCCAGTAATTACTATGTTCCTTTAACCATCACTGAATTTTAGTGTACTAAAATAAGAGCCCCTAAATTTATTTTATACATAAACCTTGGATGAAGCCATTCTCTCATATAAAAACTAATATGGCCTCCTTCTCTCAAAAACACACAGCCTATCTTTATTTCTTTGATTAAAAAAATACTATATCTTGACCCTATTTCAGCACACCAAGACCTTATTATTGAAACACTAACTTCATGTTTTCATTCTCAAATTGTAGGTTGTAAACAAACCAAGGTACTACAGTCTTTGATGCATGAAAACCAAAACAGATAAAAAAAGACAAGTCAGTGTCCTAACCACTGTTAAAAATTTTAAAATAATAATACTAAAAAAAACCACTTAACAGAATTTCTTTAGCTCCTCTCAGTTAGAAACCTCAGTGAGGCTAAGACAGACTCATGAAGTCAACAAGCAGTAATACTGCAAAACTATAATGAGAGTTTTTAATCATCTTTCCTTAGGATTTACTGCTGAAGTTAAATCAGAAGGCCACTCATTCACATCATATGTCAAAGTCAAAGCCTTGGGCAGAGGGAAGGTCAGAAGAGATTCTGTAAAATAAACTTTTGAAGATTTTGTTCTCTGATCAAATACAAAGATTTTAAAACCAAAGCAGAATGTTTCTTTCAGAAACTAGATGCTAATTTCAAATCAGACACACACAACTGCTGCAACATACACCCCTGACTCTAGAGTGGATGAGCCATACCCAGGGACTAAGCATAATTACACACACTTTTGGTACTTCTCCTAAACATTTTAACTATTATTATTATTCTTCAACAATTATATGGTGAAATAAAAATACATATTAAGTTTTATTCATTATAAAGTACCTTGAAATGTACCAATAACCTAGTATCAATACAAACGCCCAGTATCAATGTAGGCCAGTGCATGAGGGGATTGAGAGCAGCCCTGCAGTGGACTTGGGGTTGCCGGCGGTTGAAAAGCTGGACACGAAGCAGCAACGTGCACTCGCAGCCCGGAAAGCCAAGGGCATCCTGGGCTGCACTGTGCGAAGCGTGGCCAGCAGGTCGAGGGAGGTGATTCTGCCCCTCTGCTCTGCTCTTGTGAGATCCCACCTGCAGTGCTGTGTGCAGCATAGGAAAGACACAGACCTCCTTCAATAGGTCCAGAGAAGGGCCATGAAAACCATCAGGAGGCTGAAACATCTCCCCATGAGGACAGGTCAGAGTCTTGGGGTTGTTCAACCTAGAGAACAGAAGGCTCTGGGGAGATGTTATAGCAGCCTTCCAGCACTTAAAGGTGGCCTACAAGAAAGCTGAGGACCAAGGTTTTAATTAGGGCCTGTAGCAATAGGACAAGGGGTAATGGTTTGAAACTAAAAGAAGGCACATGCAAATCAGATATAAGGAAGAAATTTTTTATAATGAGTGTGGTGAAGCATTGGAACAGGCTACCTAGAGAGGAGGTAGACGCCCCCTCCACAGCAACATTCAAGGTGAGGCTGGACAGGGCTCTGAGCAACCTAATCTAATTGAAGATGTCCCTGCTCACTGCAGGGAGGTTGGACTAGATGACCTTCAGAGGTCCCTTCCAACTCAAAGTATTCTATGACTCTATGAAAAGAAGCACTATAAGCTAGATACCATTAATAACATTTGTATGACAAGAAAGGATTATCTTCCACTTTTTCCTATTATTGCAGGAGCAGCATCTAACACTTCTGACACAGGCGACTCAACAGCATTCTCTGCAAACCGTAACAATGCCCAAAAGCTGTACAAGTTTCATTTATCAGGCAAACACAGATTAAACTAAAGGCATTGTCCTAAAATCTCCAAATCTAGCCCAATAAAAGCTAAATTACCTTTTATTCTCACTTCTTGACTCATTTTGCTGTCTCTTCTTTTCCATCATTTTCCCCCATCTACTTTTTGGCAAGTCACGCTGAGGCAGAGGAATGGCATGGTGAACATAAAGATCAGTGAGACAATCTTTATCCATCTTTGTATCATTTTCAACTAGTATATTTTTCTGTGAGAAACAGAAAAAAAAGCTGTTGTTATTATGATAAATTCAAAGCACAAGCATCATCTTGGCATAAATTCTTTTTTCGAAAGCCACTTCAAGGTAGTGTGTTGGGCATAAATGCCAAGGTTTCAGAAGTAAGAATTGGCCACAGGGGTGACCAGTGTGGAGAGTCCATGAATTGCCACATGCCAATGACAGCCTGGTCTCCTGCCTTCCTGCTGGCAACTTCCCTTGTTTTCTGCAGATTACTCTCAGTCCCTCCCTTCAGTAAGGCAACGGGAAATGCAAGATGCTTGGGTCAATGCACAGTGGGGTTTTTTTCCGTTATCTACAAGTGCATCTCTTCACACACCTCCTCATGTGCCTCTTGCTGTTTGTCCTTTTGTGTCTCCTGTACTTGATGGCTGCTGCTCTTTAAGTGCATTAGAGCACAGGTGTAATGACCGCCTCCGGTTTGAGTTTTGGTGCGTGATAAGCTGTTTTCATCAGCATCACAGACAGCTACTGAGCAGTACTGGGCAGTACATCACCTTTGTCCACAGAGGTCAACCCTGCATCCCCTCCCTCTCCAAATAAAAATAATAGGAGGGGAAAAAAAGGAGAAAGTTACGATAGACATACTGTTGCTCACGACTGGTGTTCTCATGCACTCTTAAACACACTTCCTTGAATCAAAGTACAGTATCAGAGACCTTCTTCACACTTCCAAAAAAATGACAACTAGAACATAATGCAGTTCAAACTTTGGGATGTAGAAGCATGCTTCTTCCCCATGTTCCCAAAGAATAAGGAAGGTATCTAGTAATGGTCAGTTAGAACACTAGTTTTACTTCTAATCATGTACAGGGACATGAAAACAAAATTTCTTGGTACTCTCAAATTTATTTGAAAAAAAGCCCCACTAACTTCTTACAAACTAGAAGTCACTGAACGTAGGTCAAGTCTCTGTCACTACTACAACGCTTCATGACATCTGATGCACGCCTAAAACCTGTATATCTTTGTCCACAAAACCTACGTGGACAAGAGCATACAAAAATTCATCAAGCTCACACAAAAACCTAAAACTTCGATTACTATTGTTTCCTGCATGTCAAATTTACAGGCAAGGCAGTAACAAGCACTCCAAATCACATCAACTCAAGCTTCGCACCGTCCAAAACTTATTTATAACTCACTTTCAAACATTTTTTTTCAATTCTGCATATTTAAGCATTAGCTTGACTGATTACATAGGATGCACTTCCTTAACTCACTGGGTACGAACGTATTAAAGGAGTGAAGATCAACTTTCCGCAGGTAATTTTACTGTATGCAAACAGCATCTCACAGGCACGTTGATTTGGGTGAATAATTCTTATGCAGCTACTCAAACACAGCCTCTCTGCAACCCTGGAGACATCTCTCACGCTACGGGAGTCCTCTAAGCAAGTACCGAGCCTAGAGAGGTACCGACGGGGGGTTTGTTTCTTCTCCCTAAGCGCTTCTCGCGCACTGGCCGCTAACGGCTGCACGGCCTGAAACCCCAGAGGGGCCGGAAGAAAACTCCCGGCGTCGGTGGGGGGAATGGGTAGAAGTTTTAAGAGGGTTTAGGGCGTTGGATGCGACACGACAGGAAGCAGGGCCGCAGGCCCGAGAGGTCTCCCTCCCTTTCCCCCGGGCGGGGCAGGCACTGCACACACACCCCCACCTCG